GATCTAATGGGTCTTAATTCCTCCCCAGTGATTTTGCATTCCAACAGCTTGTGACAATATCCTTGGCTGAGCAGTCCTGAGCTACTGTGAGAACTGCAGCTAAATTTGGCTGAGTTCAGAGGGAAGCCGGGTGGCAGCTAAAGCTCCTATTGAGCAGAGTCCAAGCACTCTGGGAATGCTGATTCTTCTGTGTCTGCATTTTGGCAGACAGTATCCTCCAGCAGTGGGGTAGTGACCCTTTCAGAAGTGCAGGCACTCCGTGTGCCAGCCTGCCCCTAACCAGCATCCAAGCATGCAGGCTGCTGTTTCAGTGCAAACCAAGGAGTCGGTCTTTTGTAAGGGTAATGACTCTGAATTGCTCATTCGTGACCAAATCATTCTCAGGTGCTTTGTATTATACCAGGGCTTTCTTGACACAACAGACTTGATTGCTGGGAAAATCCCATTCTCCCCCAGTGACCAAACGGATTGCAACTATAGGCAGAAGCACTAGGAAAGGAAAACATACAAAGGGTATGAAAGACGTGCATTACAATCTTTTCAGGGCTGGCTCTGTGCTCACCATACCGGCAAAGAAACATACAGACAGACATACACGCATGCATACACACATACATTTTAAAATTATTTTTATTTAAAATTTTTACCCCTGCCTTTTTCCTCAAAAGGACCCAAGGTGGCTTCGCACCATTAATGGAACAATCGACAAGCTACAAACAGGGGGAATGTGTTTAAAATAGACTCAAATTCAAATTTAAAATGCTCTCCGCCATGGTGGCACCTGTCCTGGGTTGCGGCAAGGAGCTGCCGGGGAGCTGTGGAAGGCCCTCTCAAAACCTCCCGCGGGCGAGACCTCAGAGTCTTGTGGAACCACCTGCCGAGGGGGAAAACCCGAACTCAGAGCTGGACCCCCCACCTTTCCGGAAGCCAGCCAAAAATGCCACCAAAGGCAAACCCAAGCGTTCAAGTCCTCTCAGGTTTTCCCTCCATTTAAGCAGGAGGAAAGGACTGGAAAGTTCTGACACAGATGGGACAGGATCCCCAACCTCCATCTTGGGACACTGTTTTGTTGCGGACAACAGCAGGCGTCGGTCCTTCCGCCAGTGAAACCACAGGTCCCTTGGCGGGTTTTGGAGAAATCGCGCCCTCCTCTGCTCCCACCAGCCTTTTGGTGGGTCCCAACCAACCTACTGCCAAAGGGCACAAGACATACATAAAAGCTGTCTCTCTTAACCCCAGGCACGCCATTTTCTAAGTCTTATTCCATCATTCCCTACCCACACTTACGCGCAGGTTGGTAAGATGGGGAAACTGTGCTACAAGGGAGACCTTCTTGCTCAGGTGTAAAGCCCTGCAGATGTTCTGCTTTCTACCTCCACAGAAGGCCATGATGGAGAAGGGAGGCATTAGTCAATCCCCTCGGAGGAAGGCAGGCTGATCCTGACAGGGAAAGGCCGAATAGGGCTTGCAGATTTAAACTAGACCAAGGGCTGTTCATTTCAGACCTGGGGTGTTGGTCTGTCAATCTGTCTGGCACTGGCCGATTATTCCTCCCGTGCCTCTAAATTCGAAGAACGCCCTGCCTCTCTCTGTTCAGTCACTTTCCTCTGTTGGAAGTCAGTGGGTCTTTTGAAGTCTGCTGAAAGCAGTCACGTTTATCAGTTTGCTGTTTGAGCCATTCAGTTGTAAGTAATTAAACCTTTGTATCTGTTCTCTCCCCCATCTCTCTGAGTGTGTTACTGAGACTGTAAGTGCCAGTACCCATCTCTCTGAGTGTGTTACTGAGATTGTAAGTGCCAGTTGACGAGATAAAGAGGGCTGGACAACTCTGGCGAACTCGAAGCTATTCCGCTCTGTGAATCTCTGCACGAGGGCTGGACGACTATGGCGAACTTGAAGCTATTCCGCTCTGTGAATCTCTGCACTTTTTGCTGCTCAGCTAGAGGAATTTAAACAGAGATTCAAAACTTTGCCAGTTTCTGCAGAGATTGTTCCATCGGCAGCTTCTGGGAATGTCGGCAGAAATCTCTTTGCCACAGTTTCTGCAGAGATTGTTCCATTGGCAGCTTCTGGGAATGTCGGCAGAAATCTGTGGAGAGGTTACTGGTCATGTCCGCAGGCCTGACACAGGAGAGCAACAAACACCTTCTTAAATAAAGGTGCTTAACCTCAAGACGGTTGCTCTTTCTTAAAATGTCCCCTTTTAATCTCATACTAGATAGCATATATTCGTTCTGTTCTCAGAAGAGGCTTGCAGAGAGACCAAGCACTCATGCAGAGACACAACAAGCAGCAGTCTCTGAAGAGGCTAATATTTCTCTCTCTCTCTCTCTCTCTCTCTCTCTCTCAGCCAAGAAAGACTGAATGGAAAGAAGCCAGATGGGCACAAGTAACTCATACAGAGACTCACCGGCCATCATCCCTACTCATCCCTACCCGTAGGGTTGATGGCTTGAGGTTTTGAACACCCTGTGTGGTTTTGTGTGTTTCTGTGTGTGTTTTGTCAATGCATCGGTCACCCTCATGGCACACATCTTAGCCATCACTCTCTCTGAACTGTTTGCTGACCTGCTTATAAACCTGCAGGATGTAACCCCACACTAGCATGCAGTCCGCCAAAACGCCTCTCAGGGTTCATCAGCGCATGCACAGAAGCCGTGGCCCGTCCGCGGTGCCCCACGCTTCCTCCCCGCACTTCCTGAGTGAGGAAAAGCGGCTCTCGGCACACGTTTGAACAGCCTTCCTTCCCAAGTGGGCGGCTAAACCCATTTACATAACCTCCGGCAGAGACAAAGGCCGCTGTGTTATCGCCCCTTCCCAAAAGCGCTATGTGCAAATCCTCGGCCGGCTGGTGAGCTATATTTCCATCAAGGTTTAAAACTGTGCTTTGTTGCCACCGTGTTGAATGACCGGCCCTTTGACTCCCTGCCATGATAAAGCTGTCACTGGAGGAGAAAGACCGGCCGGGGCTTAACAAACGAGATCAAATCGGACCGGCTGTCAAGCCACTCATCCTTCCCTTGGGGTATGCATTAAACGGACTTTTATTGTCAGCCTCTGGGGGAGGAGGCTGAGCCAGGTTTTGCCTAGCTGTGATCACAGAAATAAGCTAGTCAAAACTCTGACCCTGCTCGCCGTAGGAGGAGTCCAGAAAGAAAAGGGCCATATTACGACGATCCCTCCTCTTGTGTACTGGAAGCCCAGCGGTGTAGGCAAACCTGCACTGCAGAGGGAACTCCTTTAGTGCTGGTCATGTGTGATTGTCACAGCAGAGGTTATTCTAGCTCCCCTCCTACCACTGGCAAATTTGCCTGTTTTGTTTTTTCGACTGCTCTCCGCACATCTGGTTTCTTCCCAGAGCTTCGCCAGTCCTGACTCCTCATGATGGGTTTGCACCTCTAAAGTTCTGTAATGTTTTGTTTGGTCCTAGTAGGGTAAACTCTGGCTGGACCAGTTTAAAAAACAAAACAAAACAGGATCCTGTTTCCCCGCAAGGGACCGAGGAGAAAAATTCCAGAAGCCATGAGCCAAGCAGGAAAAAAAAAGCACATCCCCTCCCGCCGTCAAGCCTCTGGAACTGGTTTGCACGGGTCCACGGCCTGAAAGGTGGTGGCTTCACAATGAGCAACCTTAGAGATGCTGGTCCCGCCTGGTTTCCATTCTTTCAAAAGCCCGGAAGTGTCGCCACCTGAACCGTTAGCGTTCCTGACCCAAGCAGCAACCCCAAAGGATCTTCATTCATGCTCAAGATTTCCCGCAAAAACATAATCCATCAAGAAAACCAACAAGGCTGCCACTATCCTAGCATTCCCCCCCCTCCCCACTCCACTCTTCTCGTCATAAGGTACTACAATTCCCATCCTCCACAGGCACCAAACTCCGTGATCCATGGCCCTCCTGTAAAAGCAGAAGCAGCAAGAAGCCAGAATTCTGGCCCTTAAGATCAGGGGGCTGTTATCCCACCGTGGTTTACTGGGGGTCAGGATGCGTTTGGCTACAGCCTTCACCAAGCGGTGCCCTCTCCCTGGGCAGATCACACTACGACTCCCATCATCCCTAACCAGCAGGGGTAATGGGGGTTGTAGTCCAGCACACACAAAGGGTATCCACTCAGGGGAGGCTGAACCAACTATTAGGAGAGAGGGCCAGAGGATTTATCAAGCCCCATTTTTCATACTACGTCTGCTTTCAGGAAGTTTTTCCATGTGTTCCATCAAGTCCCTTAATCTCAACCACTTTTGCTTTTATTTGTTTAGAGCGCACGCCAAATCATAGCCATTTGGGTTTCTCTTATTGGGTGTGGAAGAAACTGGCATTTCTGCGCATAGTAATCTAGGATGTGGAGCAGCGGTTTAAGCATACTTGCAGTTACCTGTCCAACATCACAGCCACGCAGAGAAACGGATCAATGACAGATGAGACGCACCAGTTTCCCTGCCATGGGGAAGGAGGGGTGAAGGCCTCTACGTCACACGGGCCCTTTCATCTCTGTTCAAGATTTTTGCATCCCCATCAAGAGGGAAGCCACCCGCTTTAGGGTTAGATCAGAGGTTGCTTCTTGGTCCCTCAGAGAGCAGCTTCATGACAACCCACAGGGGCCGAAAGCCCATCTCAAACCCAGCATGGAAAAGTTGCTACTCGGACCACAAGCCCCATACTCCCCTACTGGCATGTTCTAAGCCCTCCTGACACTGGTGCTCAGCCACTCCAAACTCTGGCCCCAAAAGAAAACATTGTCAAAACTAAACCAAGGGAATCTGAGGCCGGATTCTACCCGGCCAGCCTGCCATTCTGTCAGTCATCCGGAAAACAGCAGTGGAAGTTCTCCAGAAAACCAAGAAAGGGGGGGGGGGGCTTCTCAGCTTCATCAATTCCTGAAAGGATTCACAAGGTGATGCGTGTCTACGATTTTATGCCGCTATCGATGGCTTCAAACGGGGCCCCTGTCCCTGAAGGTGGCAGTTGAGAACTTCCTCCCCAAACACCCCCCTCTCTCTTACCTGGGGCAATGCCCGATGAGGAGTCTCAAGGAAGGGAAGTCTCCTTTGGCCGCAGCGTAGTGAACAGGGAGAGCCCCCGTGTCCGTGGCCGCCAGCGGGTCGCTGCCCCCGAAGCGCAGAAGCCAGTCGATCACCTCGTGGTGGCCAAACCGGGCGGCCAGGTGTAAGACGGTGGCACCAGAATGGTCCGTGTCCTGTCAGACAGAAAACACGTGCGAGGAAGGTGAGCCTCCCCCCATCTCATGCTGGACAGATTATTAATCTAATATGGATATAAATATCCATATGAATAAAATATCCATTAATAAAATAATGATATTATTTTAAGACTCCATCAATGTTGGCAAACTTGAACATATTGTTTGGTAGAACATCAGCATGGATTTAAAATTTCTGCAGGTGCTTATTTAGAAGATTCTCTTGATTTCCTAAGGAACTATTTGCCTGGTCGCCTAAGATAAGGGGGGGATCGCCTGTAGAACAAACTGACAAGGACTGCCCAGAGCACAGGATTAAACCAGCTGTTTTTTTTAAATATAAGAATGTTGTTAGTGTAAGAAGCTGGGGATGGGGTACCTATACAGCAATCCAAGGAAGCAGAATCTGCTTCAGTTTGGCAAGAATTCTCAAGTATGAATGCAAGAACGGGTGCAGTAATGTGGCGAAACTAGGTCTAGGAAGAAACGAGTTCAAATCTCCCCAGTCTCCCATGTATAATTTTTTTCTTCAACCTTAAGCAAGTTCTGGTATACATATTTCTTGACTTGGGCAATAAGCTTGTGACGGCTTGTAAAACGCCAGGCACACGATCTAAACCTAACACAGTATAAAAAGGGGGAGGCCAGAAAGAACCGCAAAAGTCAAACCAAACCAAGCCACAAGCCAGCCGTCAAACAGTTTCGACAAACAGCTCAGAAAAGCAGCGACAGGCCAGATCCCCAGGGAGTGTCTCAAGAAACTGGATGTCTCTCTGGCAGCCGCTATAACCTTACAGGTTGTTGTCGGGAGGATTTCTTAAATAGTGTATGTAAAGAGCAGAAATCACGACACATACCTCTGCCTTCCCCTAAAGTCAAGGCCAGATAAGAACTGCTGGATAGCTCAAAGGTTTAAAGCTGCTGGCTGCAGAGCCAGAGGTTGGGAGTTTGATTCCCCCTCCCCCCACTGACCCTCCTTGACAGGGGCTGGACTGGATGATGCATCGGGTCCCTTCCAGTTCTAAGATGATGGTGATGATATGATGGTGATCTGTTCTGCCAGCAGCTTCCTAAAGAGGAAGCAACTTGGGGTATGTGTGCACATCTGTCTCCGTCTGGCCTGTTTATATTCTGTGTCTCTGAGCATATGCAAAAGACTTTCCTGCACAGACCGAGTAGACTCAGCCCACACCAGGGGCCCAGGCCCTTCCTAGATCAGCAGCGGATGCTCCTTGCGGCTGGCAGATGGACAGAAGGCACAGCCGCCAACGGTGTGTCTGGGCAGGGGATGCTCCCCTCTTCTCCCCGGACATAACCACACAAGTGGAGGAGGAGAGGAAGACAGGCAAGGCCCCGATCCTCTGGTACAGAGGCCGAGGCCAGCAGATTGTCCAGAAGTGGGCCACTGCCCATTTCGCCTTCCATGCCATCCGTAGCCACTGGTGCTCATTTCCAAAAAGACAGATTTACTGCGGCGCAAAAGGCGTGGGTGACATAGCTCATCTTCCCATGCCCATCTCTAAAGACTGGGTGGATGGTTGGTTTTTTTCCAACGAAGAGATGTGTGTTCCAAACAAAACTCGAGTGGGAACACATTCAGACCTTGGAAAAAAAAATCATCTTCCTAAGGTCCAGATGCGGTTGGAGGTGGGCGGGAGAGGGTCCAGCCGGGTGAACCTCTGAAAACAGAAATGCACAAGAATGTGCTTCCTCTCTTATCCAATTGAATGGGAACACATTCAGACCTTGGAAAAAATCATCTTCCTAGGGTCCAGATGCAGTTGGAGGTGGGCGGGAGAGAGTCCAGCCGGGTGAACCTCTGAAAACAGGCATGCACAAGAATGTGCTTCCTCTCTTATCCTTCTCAGCTGTGTTTACTCTCTCTCTCTCTCTAGAAGCAAAAAAAATAATGCAATGGAGGCTATTGTCCTTTGGGCAGATCGTGAGAAGACGAAGCTCACCGGAAAAGGCAATCATGCTGGGGAATGTTGGATGCAGCAGGAAAAGAGGAAGAGCGTGTGTGAGATGGATTGACTAGATAGGAAACCACAGCCTTGAGTTTGCAAAAGCTGAGCAGAGCGATTGACAACAGGACTTTTCAGAGGTCACTCATTCATGCTGCTGTGGTCGACGTGCCATCAAGTTGCCTCCAGCTTATGAAAAAGCTGAGCAGAGAGATTGACAAGAGGACTTTTCAGAGGTCACTCATTCACGCTGCTGTGGTTGACGTGCCATCAAGTTGCCTCCAGCTTATGATGACCCTACGAAGGAGGGACCTCCAAAGTGTCCTGCCCTCAATAGAACTGCTCAGCTCTTGCAAACTCAAACCTGTGGCTCCCTTTAGGGAGACAATCCATCTCATATTGGGGTCTTCCTCTTTTCCTCCTGCCTTCCACCTTTTTCTAGCATTCCTAGGGTCAGCCTAAATGGGATTTTTTTTTTAATTTATGTATTTATTTGTCTTATTATCAGCCGCCTTTCTCCCAATGAGATTCAAGGTGGCTCCCGGTGCTAAAAAGAATAGGATTAAGAACACAGTAAGTGTTAAAAAATAATGAATGAATTTCTCTTCCCCCCCTTTCTTTTTTTAAAGGAATTTCCTTAAAAGAGCAAGGCCCAGTTAACCCCCCCCCCCCAGCAGGTACGGATCGCTCTACTTTATATCACACAACAAGAACTCCTTCTTTTGATTTACCCAGAATGTGATGGGGTCATCAACTAAAGACGTTCAGGGTAAATTTATATATACATAATTTATATACAACCTATATATAGGTTGTGGACCTATATATATAGGTCCATAACACAGACCGAAGCTATGGAACTCCCCGACACAAGATGCCCTGATGGGCAGCAACTTCGGTGGCTTTAAACGGCATCTCATGGCGTTTTAAATTTGATTTGCTGTGAGCTTTCAAGGACTTTCCACACCTGGAAAGCTAACATTTCCTGCCTCTGGTTGAACTCGAACTTGGAGCTTGCTGCAGGGCATTATCCTGAATCAGCCCATTTGTCTGCCCGGCTCTCTAGTCCTCTCTGACTGGTGAAGCTTTGGTTGGGATCCTTCAGTTAAGGGGCAAAGGATCTTTGGCCTTCTGGGGTCGTTTTTAAGGCCCACCCATGTCCCAGTAAGGCTCACGGTGAGGAATTAAACATCTGGAATGGTCCCTTTGGCTAAAGAAACCTTCCACATCATTTATTACACAATAATAGGTGGGGGTGGGGGAAGGATGAGTGGCGTTTATTGGTGACAACAGAACCTAGAAAGGTTCTCCAGTAAGGCTAACCTTAGCCTTGCTTGAAAGAAGCTTCGATGGGCGACAACTCACTCCTAAAAAGTTTATGAGCGATCACTTTTTATCTTTAAGTTGGTTCTATGTTTTGATCATTTATCTGGAAGATGTAGATAAAGAAACCACATTCCACCAGTGTGAAAACAACCATTTTCTTTTGCTAACAGATACTCTTTTGGTGCAGACTCCCTATCTTTTTGTTTATGATGGGGTCAACTGGCCAGAAACAAAATCGGGGGGGGGGGGGGGGGGGGGGAGAGACCCAGCCATTGAATTACAAAAGCAACAGACACCACCGGCCACACAACTCCAGGAACACAATCTAAACATGCTGGTTTTGCATTAAATCAGAATACCTACACTTCCTTAAAATCTGCTTTGTCTTACAACTCATAAACTGCATGTTAAGGGCTGCTGAAATTTGCCCTGTACACTTCATGGGGTAGGGTACTAGGTTATTCTCTGACATAACTTTACTAATAAGGCTGCATTGTTAATAGATTGCGTTCCCAAGCTTACTGGAGCCTAAAGTGACATCAGGGGAATGTAACTCTTTTCAGGCTTTCTTCCTTAGTCAACAGCAAAGGCAACAACCCTCAAGTTGTTAATTACAAGCTTGCTGTGAATGAATCGTTCAGTTCCCAATACCAGGAAGTCGTCAAGAATATTCCCTGAAACAGAATATAAGGTGGGTCTCCGTCCCTTTCTCCAGCTGCTGGTAAGAGTCAGCTTTAAATCCTAAACCCTATTGAAAAGGGCAGATCTTAAAAGAAGAAGATTCTTAGAATGGCAGAGCTGGAAGGGACCCTGTGGGTCATCTAGTCCAGCCCCTCTCAGGGAGGCCGTGGGGGAGGGAATCGAACTCCCAACCTCTGGCTCCACAGCCAGAGGCCTGAGCTATCCAGATGTTATGAGGCAGTTCCAAAAGAGAGGAAAATGGAACTTTTTGAAGAAAAGGGAAAGGACAATTGGAGGCCCAACAAGATCGGAAACCTAGATATAAAACAGGTTGCATGACTTTTTAAAACAAATAAATACATCCCAATTCTTCAAACCTATAGTTTATTTCGTGAGAAATCAATTCTTAGCTTCAGTATGTACAGCTGTAAGGATTAAGGAACCAGCTTGAATTCTGCAGCTGCAAAAATGTTTGGAACCATATTTTTCACCCTCTGGGGGCAAGTGTGTGTCCAGACGTGCTGGGAAGGAGGAAGAATTCATGCCGCTTCTCTCCCTCCGATGTCTTTTTAGCCTCTAGAGCAGGGGATTTCCCCCCCCCTTGAGGTCCCCAGATTTTTTTCACCATGATCCAGGAATAATGGATATTTTTTTCCCTCTGGGGGCAAGTGTGTGTCCAGATGTCCTGGGAAGGAGGAAGAATGCATGCCGCTTCTCTCCCTCCAATGTCTTTTTAGCCTCTAGAGCAGGGGATTCCCCCCCCTTGGGGTCCCCAGATGTTCTTCACGACTGCCAGAAATCCTGGCCGGCACCGCTAGTTTTAGTCCAAGAACATCTGGGGCACCCAAGCTTGGGAACCAACGACTGAGTATTATCAAGGTACAAAAGCTGGATCTTGGGACCTATTTAGGATGCCAAGACGTGGCCAGGCAATTTAACAGCCCCTCTAGGCAGATGCAGAGCATACATCACTCCAACACAATTAGGAAAAAGCATGGAAGAGTCAACGAAAGCCAGGAGTCAGGCATGCACTATTCCAGATGTTGCACCAGGCAACATCTGGAATAGTCAGGACCCAAGTTTTAAAAGCAACATCTGGAGACATGGGGTGTCTTCCCACCAGACCATAGGCAAGTGGGCCTTCTGAATGACTGTGTCTACATCCCGTTGCTACTCCCCACACGGTGAGATGCTGTATCCCTCCCACAGAGAAACAGCAGAGAATGCTCCAGGGAGTAAAGTTTAATACTTCACAGACTTAATATTCAGTGGCTGAAATCCTGCTGCAGAGTGAAGTGAGTCACCCCCTAGAGCAGACACGTGTGAATCCATTGCTCCATAAGCCCCAAAGGACTGCCTCATCAAATCCCCCTTGATTCAATGGGCTTACTCCAGTTGCAACTTAGAAGTCTAAGCACCAGGATTTCAGCCTCTGATTGAGAAAGAGGTTCCCACCCTAAGTGAACCTTCGCAGGCGTCATCGGTCCCGCAGGGCAAAGGAAGGGACACTTTGCACGTGCTCAGTGGAGCTCTAGCTCTCCTTTGCACCGGTTGCGATTCCGCAGTCATCATCTGCCTGCCCCAGTGATTGAAACCTAAGAAGGGCCTCCCAGCCTAAGGGAACCTTCTTAGCCGAGAGCTGCGTTTGCTAGAGGAGGGACTGATCCGGCTCGGGGAGGCGATCATGGCATCCGTAAGCCCCCCCGCTGCCCAGTTTTCTCCCCGTCGCCCGTCCTCCCACCTCCAACTTTCTAAAATAAAGAAGCATAAGGAGGCAGCCGTATGAAAGCGTCACCCTCCGACCCTAGGGCGCGGGGGGTCTGACTCTGCACGTGCTTAGAGGTGCCCTTGTTTGCTCAGGTCTGAAGGCCATTTTCTGGCTCCTCTCCTCTCAGGGCAGAATCTTTCCTCCAACCAGCCCTGAGCCCTTCATTGACCTGCGAAGGATCGTCCCCGGCCGCAGACGCGGAAGGAAAGGTAGCGCCAAGCGAGAGCGAACGGCCGCTTCCTCCCGCGGTGCGCCCAGGGCGCAAAGCTCCGAAAAGCGCCCAAGGGCCCAACCGAGGTGGGGGAGCTCCTTGAAGGGACCCCCTCCCCCAATAAAATGCCACAATCAGGGGAGCTTTCCAGCCTCGCAGGCCGGGCAGCGGAGAATCGGAGGAGCCTCCAGCGCATCCTGGCGAGGGGCCGGCGGCGCAACAGTCTCCAAAGCGGCCCGGCGCACAGGGAGGGGGGT